TAAACCAAATATGTAAATTTTTGCCAATGTTAAAGATGAGTTAATTTACATACATAGGCTAACGATGGCCAAATAGGTCAAAACACAGCACATGATACTCCCTTCAAAACAGTTTCCTCCTGAAATATATACTGTATATCCACACAGTTCGTATGATCTTTGACCCATAAACTTCAATTTCTTTCATTCTAAACTCAAATTCAAATTACAAGTATTGAACAGTTTCAGTTCTGTAAGTACACTAACTAACAAACTCCATGGAGCAGAGCCTTTCTTGAGAAGGTAATAACTTCTCAGTTGGGCCCCTTAGAAAGAGTTAATCTCAATCTAATCTCTTCCTTTCTCCCCTGAAGATGGAAACAGATCCAGTTTCCGAAATGTCGTGTCCTCTTATTACCTAAAATTCCGGACGATGGAAAAAGTCCAAAACCCCAGTAATTCTGTGTCATCCACAGAACCCTTTAGAATCTATTTTGAAGAATGTTTTGGATTAAATGAAGTACTGTTCTGGAATGTGTCTGGAGAGACTGACGAAAACGAAAACCTAAATCAGGATATCTGATCATCTAACTGAGAGTCAAAACAAGCACCTTCTACATATAAACCTACAGTATTACTGTTTTGCCAGGAACATGCTAATTGCCATCATCACTTTTTATATTTCCACTCCCATGCCAAATGACAAGACACGTCATTTTTAGTCAGATGTGAATTATCACATGTCATGGATGCTGATGAATTGGGCCCGGATTTTTATGACCTAAAAATTATAAATATATGCATGCACTTATGACCCAAAATTATGTCAAATATGACCTAAAAAGTGCAAAATATGACCTTAAATATTAAATGTGACATAAAATTTCACAATTTTAATTACAACTTTTACTAGAGTTTAAGAATAAAGATGATGAATATATGATAGTAGGTCCTACTTACCAAATTAGCCCTATTATGTCTCTGAAGGAAAGAAAACTGATGGAATTTCGACATTTCGTACTGGATTAAACCATTCATTGTTTTCTTTTTAATACTGATATTTGCGTTCATATTTTAGACAAACACTGGTGCACATGGTATGAACACTAACTTAACTCTGTTATTTAAAAACACCATTTACAAGAACACAAGCTATTCACGACTCAATTTTCACTGTTACAATTGCAATTTATAACTACATGCATTTTCAAATTTTCAAATTTGAAAGATCGCCGATTATCATTAAGGATAGTTTGTATTTGGAAAAACTTCGTTCCACATCACATGATGTGACAGGAGCATATTTGAAGAATGTCAAGTCGTTTGGTGACAGTTCTGTATCATCTTCGAATGTTGCTAGTTTACCGGAAAGTATATCTGCAATCTTGCATAATGTTGAATAACCAGCATTCCGATGAAGAACACTTTCTATTTTGGTTTTAATCCTGTCACTTATTTCACCACGAGTTCGGTTTAGTTCATTCTCAATGCTCTTTACAGTGTCCAACGCGTCACAGAGTTCAGTCCCTACAAATTCCAGGCGAGTTATTGCACCTGAAATTGAACAGAAGTTTGACTTTATGTATGCTAGATTTTGTGCTAGAGTGGTAGAGAATAAGTCCTTGACAGCTTTAATTGATGTTGACTCACTGCTGTCAAAGCCATTAAACATTTTCTCAATGGCTGTGTAATTTTCACAATAATATGCCACAGCATCCAACCATGTACCCCACCGTGTGACGACAGGCTGTGGAGGAAGTGGCAGTAGAGGAGCTTCTTGTTTAAATTTCTGCACTCGAAGAGGGGCCTTGATGAATATTTTCTTTCCGTTTGAAACTAGCCTATCTACATCAGGAAAATGTCCTCGAACTTCTTCAGCCACTCTATGCAATGCATGAGCGAGGCAAGTAATATGGACCATTTTCGGGTAGAGGATTCGAAGTCCTTTGGCAGCCTTCTTCATGTATGGAGCGGCATCTGTTACTAGGAGAAGGACATTATTTCGCTGTATTCCATTTGGCCACAACAACTTCATGGAATTATCAAATAGGACAGCTATAGTCGAATGATTTGCTCTTTCGAGAACTTCACAGTCAAGAAGAAATCTCTCTCCAGGTTGATCTTGTTTCAGGGTCCCAACTATAACATTCGCAATATACCGCCCATCTACGTCAGAAGTCTCGTCCAAGGAAACCCATATCTTGTTGTCAGCAACAGATGTTCGAATCTTATTTAACATATCTTCATAACATGTAGAGAGATAATTCTTTCTTAACGTCGATTCACTTGGGATAGGATGACTAGTGTATGTCTCCAAAAATTGTCTGAAGTGCTGATTATGCAATTTCTCTAATGGAATATTCGAAGATACCATCCACTGACACAAATCCTTCGAAAATTCCGACCCATTGTTCATTGAAGAAGGTGAAGCAGAAGAAGAAGAAGAAGAAGAATTAGTGGAACTGTTTTTAAACAACAAACTTTGTCTGCTATCCTTTGTAGATAATCTGCTTAAACATTTACCATGTTTAAAAGTTTTACAATGCTGCTGCACAGTAAATCGCTTTTCTGCCGTAACTTTCACGCCACACAACTTACAATAAAATATCTTGCCATCGGTACTAAACACTTTTTCACCAAACTCCTGTACAAAACTACGCAACTTTGCGCTCCTTGAACTACATATACTCGCTTTAGGCATTGTAAAGTCAAACTGAAGTCTTATAATGCCCTCCACATATATAAATAGAATACTTCTAAGCCCTCCAAGAAAGAATGGGATGTATATACCTTATAGTAAGACGGAGTACTATAGGAGAATACCCGTTACACTTGCCTCCCTCCTGCCTCGACTGGGAAAGGCCGGCTTGCCAGGTCATAAATGCTGCATTTCACAAATTTTCGCCTTTGTAACTGCAAGTACAGTCCAGACAAAAATATGCTTTCTAATACGAACTTCATGTACTTGAACTCTATTCCACATTGAAGCAACAGTCCAGCCTGGAATTTATTTTGTAATACTAAACATTATGGAACCGAAATTTTACATTATATCAAAGAATTGTTTCTAAAATGACAAAAATATGACCTTATTTCAAAATTATGCCAAAATATGCTGTAAAACCAATAAAACTCTAAAATATGCATTTATATGCACAATAAAAACGACATAATTTCAATAAGAATGACTGGAAACATGCATAATTACATTTAAAAATAGGAATAAACCCTAGGAAAAAATATGACATGTCATAGAAATCCGGGCCCTACTGATGAATATTAGGATACCCACAACCCACGGCAATACACTTGTTTGGAGCCTACATATAACTAGAAGAAACAAGGTGCTGGTGTAAACACATTTCAAAGTGTTACAGCATGGACACCAGTGAATGCCACAGAATGAAGTATGTGGTCTGCAGCAGACACATGACTGCTATGGCATAAGGGTCTGCGTAGACACACACAACTGCCACAACACAAGATAAAGGGTCTACAGCAGATACAGGTGATTGACATTCCACAAGGTAAAAGGTCTACAGTAGATGCACGCAAAGTAACGGGTCCGCAGCAGACATGAAACCACCATGGCACAAGGTAAAAGGTCTGCAGTACACACAGTTGATTGCCTTGGCACAAGGTAAAGGGTCTGCAGTAAATACAGATGACTGCCATGGCACAAGGTAAAAGGTCTGCAGTAAATACAGATGATGGCCATGCCACAAGGTTGAAGGATCTGCAATACGATGGGGTACCCAAAAGAAACCGAACTAATTTTTTTGTGGGCAGAGCTTTTGTAGTACCGCGTTTTGCTGCTATGAGCGCATAGAGCTAACATTCCTGAGTCGGTAAGCCGACTACCATTGCTTCAGAAGGTAAGGACTAGTTTTGGCAGAGTTTATAGTGACAACTGTTTTGTGTGATCGTTGTTTTTGCAATGGCTGATTTTCGTGAACAGCGTGCGGTGGTGAAATTCTGCTTTTTGCTCGGGAAAAGTGGAACAGAAACTCTCGAAATGTTAAAAACGGCGTACAAGGACGATGCTATGGGGAAAACTCAAGTGTTTGAGTGGTTTTCCCGTTTCAAAAATGGTGAAATGTCAATTGATAACAAACCTCGTTCTGGTCGTCCTTCAACGGCCCGAACACATGAAAATGTTGAAAAAATTCGTGAAATCATCAAGGAAGATCGACGACGGACCATTGAAGAAATTGTGGAGCTGTCGGGAGCGACTTGGAGCTCAGTTCAGCGAATTTTGACAGAAGACTTGGGAA